CACTCATTTTGTTTTTGTTTTACTTGTTTCACTAAATATAATTTATTTAGAATATTTTTCACTCACTCTCTTCTCACTCAACTACTCACAGTCGACTGATGAAATACGTCCACACAGATATATTATGTGTGGACGAGGCAACTGTCGCCTTGTCGTTCGGTATAGTGGGGACGCCCCATTATGACGGAACATGGGATGTCCACCAGTGAGGATGACAGTGTTCCATTAGAGTGAAATTTTACCTCTTTCATTTACTAAATTGTGTAGCAATCCTGTGGATGATATCTAATTCAGTTTCATAAAAATGTTTGGAGTACAAACTCCAAAAGTGTTTTTTTGTATAATTCAGTGTTCATATAAAAGTATTCGTTTTGAAAGTATTTTTCTTTCGTGTAATTCATTGTTTATATGAAAGTAATTGTTTCGAGAGGGCTTGATCTAAATTAATTCTAGGGGGAGGTGAAGTGCCCACTCGCGACTAGAGGCTAGTGAGTCTTCATCTTCATTGGCGTGGGCCTCTTTGGGGCAGGTGTCCGCTAGCGGGTAAAGGGACGGCATTCGTGAATCCATTCATGGGTGCATGGAACTCCTTACACAGGAGAGCTTTCGGTGATCCGTGATTCTCGCTTGCTTCTGTTCCAATGGGAACTAGATCCGAGTCTAGCCTTAGAGAGCAATAAAGCAGACGTTCGACGTTTTCTTCGATTACCATACTATCTTGAAGTTATCCACCGCTTGCGAGAAGCAATACGATGACGTCCGAAATTGTGGAAAAACAGTTCACGTCTTTTGATTCACGATAATGCATCTGTTCACTCGTCATTGCTTGTTCGTGATTTTTTGACCAAAAACAACACCGTTATCATGCCTCAGCCACCGTATTTACCAGAATTGGCCCCCTTCGACTTTTTCCTGCTCCCAAGATTAAAGAGATTCATGGAAAAACGGTGTATTGCGACGATTGAGGAGATGAAAACCTAATCAAAGACATACCAGCGAGTATATTATCTGAATGAATAAATGAATATTTTTTGAGAAAAATGAAAAGTTATCCGATTTTCTGAATAGACACCGTATGTTCATATCCTGAAAATATGGAAGGTGCCTTTCAATATTTTTTAGAAATTTTCCGGTACTATTTTGATAAACATTTCCCTAAAGTTAAACAATATAAACATCACCGTACGAAGCAGCCCAACTGCAAATGGGTTACTGACGACATTAAGAGGTCCAGCATACGATTGAAGGACATGTTTGTGCTTAAAAGCCATCATTCTCTATTGAATGATTTCTACAAAGCAGAAAAAAAGCACGAAATCTTATTACACAACTCAAAAAACATTACTTTCAGCATGAAATAAATAATTCAGACAACCCTACTAAGGCAGCATGGAATGTAGTGAATGAATTAACTAATAAATCGCGCAAGCAATCAATATCCTCCATAAAATATGAAAATAAAATATTCGAGTGTCCTGAGGAAATCTCTGAGATATTCAGCAA